TATAATCCTATACCCACAGTTGATCCAGAGGAAGGCTAAAAAACCCAGCACAGCATGATCCAATTTGCTCCTGCAGGGGAAAAAATTCCTTCCTGGTCCCCCAAGAGGCAATCGGATATTCCCTGGATCAACTTCACCTATAAATGTTAGTATCCAGTTATATTCTGTGTATCTAGGAAAGAATCTAGGCCTTTTTTAAAGAAATCCACTGAGCTGGCCAGAACCAACTCTTGAGGGAGTCTATTCCACATTTTCACAGCTCTCACTGTGAAGAAACTTTTTGTGTTTGGAGATTAAATTTCTTTTCCTCCAGACAATGACAGAGAGAAATCTCATTACATCTAGCTACAAAGGGAGAGAATCCATAGGGACAGACAGAGATGCCTTTTAGTGATCCTACCGCTGGTGATTTGTCTGTAGAATCACCAGTCTGATATCAGCCTTTCTTTCAGTAAAGGCTATATTATTTTGTTATTTTACTTAGTAAATTTCTGCAGATTGTTTTTACATTTCATTAATAATTTGAGTATTTGTATTCCTGCATGTGACAGTGTCATTGCCATGGCCTCTGTATGGCTGATGTCAGATGGGTGATTCTGCCACTAACAATAAATCACCAGTGGCAGGATCACTAGAGGTTGCCGTCTGTCCCTGTGGAATGGCTCCCTCTGTAGCCAGAGGCAAAAGTTGTTACTGGGCTGAAGACCAGACCTCTTCTGACACTTATTGTTTGCATTTTAAAATCAGTATTTTTTCTGTCAAATTACTTGGAACCCCTATACATACAGAGTTTATATAAAAATGGTGAGTGTTGAAATTTTTATGTCACACGGTAATTGTGCAGTGGGGTTTTGTTTTGTATTTCAATGATTTTTATTAGTTTATAAACATTAAAAAAAAAAAACAGGAGTAACAAGACACGCCCACACAGAGGCCAATTGCACATACAAAAATAAGGAAAACAGTGCTCTAACACCAATAGAGCAGGGCCTATCAAAGGCCCAGAAATGACAAAAACATTGGTATAACAGTAACTCAGTAACTCAAACCAAAGGCAGCTATCCACCGCTACACCAAAAACAAACAGAAATGGAAAAGGAAGGAGGAGTACAAAAGAGAAAAGCTGACAAGACCATGAGCAGGGGTTCGGGAACGCCAGTACCGAGCAACATCACAACCCCAGACTAGCCTGGGGGAGCATGGGGAAGGAAAAATGCAGTGGGTTTTTTTTTTTTAAGCAGAGGCCCTAGAAAATAAAATGGTGAATGTTGCAATTTTTTATGTCACACGATAATTGTGCAGTGGTTTTTCAAATGCAGTGTTTTTTTTTTTTTTTAAATATACTTTAATGAAATTGAATGCACAAAAACACAATATCATACCCAATTCTTTGGTAAAAAAATTAAAGATGATGTTACACAGAGCAAATAGATACCTAACATGCCAAACCAAAGCCATGCTTTAAAATTGTGCAAGCTGGTGGAATGGTGACAAACTATGGTATTTAAAAATCTTCATTGGCGATGCTTTAAAAGCCTTTACAGGTTACCAATTTAGAGCTTAGAGCTACACAAGAGGTCTGGTGCCAGAATTATTGGTCTCATTATAACGTTCACAAGTGTGGTGTGAACACTATTTACATATATGTGCACGACCTACGTATGCAGTCGCCTTTGCATGCAAGCACTTTACACTGTCACTTTTTCTGGTTTCTAATACCATAGAGATGATTGGGGACATCGCAGTTCTCTGCTGCTGCATGAAAAAGCAATCCAGCGGCTAATTAGCCACTAGGATTGCTTTTACATAAAAGCCGATCACCTCCTGAAAAAAATACTGTAGTGCCACTGTAAATATACGCATTGCAGTCAGCAAGTGCATCGCTAGCAATGTGAGCAACATATCACTGATCCAGCTATAGAGGGGGTCATTCCATAGGGAAAAACAGGCAACCTCTTAGTGATCCTGTTGCTGGCTTTAGTGATCCTTCAGCTAGCGATTTTTTTCTAGTAGCAGAATTGCCCATCTCATATCAGCCTACATACATTGTATAACCTTGTAAAAGATGGTGTGGCTTTATAAATCATTATAAGTACTACTACTTACATCATACCTCCCAACTTTCTGAGATGGGAATGAGGGACACCTATAAACAAAAGTATGTAGGCATAGGACACACCCCTGCCACAGCTCCTTAACCCCTTCCCGCCGGCGCCTCCCAGCCCTTGAAGAGTTTCAGACGCTGGGGGCGTGGTTTAGAGATCATTTGACCGCTGTGATGCGTCGTCACAGCGGTCACATGATCGGGAAAGGTCCCGATCGAAAGAGTGGACTGGGACCTTTCCGTGAGTACCGCACATGTGTGCTGGGAGCGCGCAGAGCACACGCTCTCAGCACATATGTTTTTTGTTACATGAACGCAAATGTGCGGCCGCTCAGCATCTAGGCCCTGACACCGAGAGGCCGCACATTTGTGTGCGGCTGGTGTGAAGGGGTTAAAGGAGAATTAAAAAAAAAAAGATTGGTTAAACCAACAAGTGCTTTTTTTACCACTACTATTCCTTTAGATTGGCTTGTGGAATTTACAAAAGCAGCCATTTAGGATTTGGATGAAAAATTTGTACTTGTACTGTAAAACACTTTTTGATACATAAGTATTGCATTTTATATACAACTATATAGATTAGACCAAAATTAGGGACAAATGAGGAGGAAAGAGGGACAGAGGGGCTTTGTTTCAAATGAGGGACAGTACCTCGAAATCAGGGACTGTTGGGAGCTATGCTTACATACCTCCCCAACTTCCTGAATGGGACACCTCTTAGCACACAGTATATAGGCAAATGAACAGCCCTGGTTACCCTGGCCACAAAGATTTAAAATGGAGAAAATGATTAGCTAAACCACACAAGTGCTTTTTTTACCTCTATTCTTCCTTTATATTGGCTTTTCAAAATACGATATGCAGTAATATTGAGGTTGGATAAAAGTAGTAGTGCATAACATTTTTGTTAGTAAAATAGTACATTTTGTATAGAGATATACACATCAGATCAAAAAGAGGGACAGCTGAGACTGTAAGTGGGACAGAAGGATTTGGTCTCAAAAGAGGGACAGTCCCTCCAAAAGATGGTCAGTTGGGAGCTAAGCTGGTATTACTGCTACTAATATTATAGTATTATAGTAACAAAGTATAACAAATCAGTGTTATGTATACCCTTGCTTTCAGTGGATGATTTTTTTTTGTAGTTATACAATATTGAAAGGGTGAACCTTTTCAAGGCTACATTCAGAGCGGCAAATTGTAGCAGCAGGAATCAGAGATTCCTGCTGCGGCTCTCAGCAGCTAGGTGCAGCCAGTGGCCCCATTCACTACAATGACAGGTCATCAGCAACCAGAGCAATTGTTGGCTCTCTGCATTGCCAGCAATTACCTGCTGTGATCACTGCTGAATGCTGCGTCACTGGCTATGCAGAGAGCTGTGAAAAGCTGCAATTGAGGGTGACCTGTCATTATAGTGAATGGGGCCACTGGCTGCACCTAGCCGCTAATAACCGCATCAGGACACTGATTCCTGCCGCTACAATTTGCATTGGCCCTAATTGCCGGTGTGAGTGTAGCATAATATAATGTCAGTTCCTGCAATGTGAATAAGCTGAGGCTTTTTTTCTCAGAGAATAGCTGCAGGTACCCCTCCTTATCCTAAAACACCCCTTGTGTCCACCTCTGACCTACCTTTGAGCACTGACCGTTGTCTCTTCCCCCTATCCACCTCCTAGTACTGCTCCTTTTAGAGAATACAGAGCCAAGTATAATTTTGCAGTGTTAAGTAATGTGCATGAAATTGGTTAACAATAATAGACACCTCCGAAACAACAACAGATCCTTTCCAACAAAAGTACACCCTTCCCCAGGAACAAAATACACCCCAACAACAGTAGATCTGTCCCAGCAACAATACACCCCTGCTGGTAACAATAGATCCCCTAGCAGTCAGTGTCAGTAGACCCTCCCCCATCAATATAAGAATCCTAGAGCAACAATAGATTCCCTACATCAACACTAGACCCCCCAGCAACACTACACCCTCCAGCTACAATAGACACCCAGCAATTAGCATTAATAAATCCTCCAGCATACCCCAGCCCCCTTTGCTTGTACCTACACTCTGTGCTGGAGGTGGCAGAACTGTGGGCAGCACAGTGGCTAAATGGTTAGTACTTCTACCTGGCAGTGCTAGAGTCATTGGTTCAAATCCCAACCACAGCACCACCTGCCTGATATTGGCATGTTCTCCCTGTGTTTGCATTGGTTTCCCATCCACACTTCAAAGACATGCTGGTAGGTTTATTGGTTCATGTGAATGTAAGGTAGGGAGCTTAGATTATATATACACACCCTTGAGGGTTAGGGACTGATGCAGAGACTGACCATTTGGAAATGTGGGCACTGCCCAAGGGCCCAGGGTCAGCAGGGGGCCCCAGGAGATGCCCCTGGTACCTTCTTCATAAGCCTTTTTGAGTTTGGGCAAGGACACAGGGGCCCCATGATTCCCTATTGCTCGGGGGCCCCATGAATTATCAGTCCGCCCTGGGCTGATGTGAATGTACAATATATAAACTTATGGCACTATATATATATATATATATATATATATATATATATATATATAAAACTGATAGCACTATATAAGTACCTGTGATAAATAAATATAATCAAACATACATCACAAACCCACAATTGCCTCTCTGGGTTAAATTTACTTTTAGTTATTTTATAACAGGTAAAAAAAACTTCAAGATATCTGTATTTACTTAAATGTGTAACTGTGTATTGCATAATTCCTGTATAATATTATCTCGCTATATTGTACAGCGCTGAGCAAACTATTGGCGCTATATAAATCCTGTATAATATAATAATAATAATAATAATAATATAATGGCATTGTTCAGTAGATATGGTTGCAGTGACATTTCCTTGCAGTACCTGCACTCACCTGTAGGTGTCGGATCCTGCTGTGGCTGATGTAGAGCTTCCTGGTGGAGGCAGGGATCCCCCCTGGGATGTCAGAGATCCTGAAACATTGCATTGCCCTGGGGGAGTCACAACTACATCGCCGAGGGCAAAGAGCCAGACAACTGCATAGGCAGGAGAGCAGGCACAGAAGACTAATGACAAACATATTCAGCTAACCCTAGTGTGAGATGTGGCTGACAATATATAGTATGATCAGATCTGATTATGGAGGGCAATCACAGTCTGTGTACTTATCTAAGCCAAGGGGTGACAGCCAACAATGGACTTCCTGACAGTCTTGATGAATTATCAGTAAACAGAGGTGATCAGTACAGTGTTGTGGAAGGTGACCATCTGGAGTCTGTATGTGTGGTCTGATAAAGCTATCTAGATGCCTTTATCAGAAATCAAACCCTGAAGACAGGTTTGTGAATAGTAAATGTATGCAGTAGTTGATGGTTTTATTATTATTCTATTCCTATAAAAAAAAAACAAGATTAATATATGCAACACAAATAAATCAGGACACTACAGCTTCTAAAGCATTGGACATACTGCATATACAACATAGAGGCACAAGGGGGTATAGCTCAGTGGTAGAGCATTTGACTGCAGATCAAGAGGTCCCCGGTTCAAATCCGGGTGCCCCCTTCTTTTGTGCATTTTTTTTCTTTACACATATTCTCTTGCAGAATTCTTTCATACCAACATAGAAATGCAATTTGTGTTCCAAATATTTTATTTACCTTTACATTCTATATCAAATAAAAATCTCCCTATATATATACAACCACAAGAAAGCAACACAAGCACTGCATGCAGATGAATGATCTCTACTGACACCTAGTGAGCAATCTTGGAAACGGGTTTTTTCTTTATTCGCCTGTAGCTCAAACTGATTTGCACTTTATTTTGTCTCAGCAGGTCACTAATCATAGGCATTTGCCCAGATTATGGCCATTAAAATACTGTTAAAACAACTAGTTTAGTTTGCCCTGTAGCTGAATATTTCATTATCATTAACTGGCAGTTATTTAATATTGATCTAAATCCCAACTTGATCACATTAAAGTGGAGTTCCAGCCGATTTTGTGTTTATTAAGTCAGCAGCTACAAAACCTGTAGCTGCTGCCTTTCAATAAACACACACTTACCTGTCCCAGGATCCAGCAATGTGCTCACCTGCGCCGTCCCTTTTCTTCTTCTCTCCAGGGCACCGGCATCTCAACTGTGGGCACCAGCCTGTGACAGCTTGCGGTTTCACAGCTGAGTGTCCACTGTGCAGGCATGAGTTGCACTGCGACTCCTGATTGGTCCAGCAGTTTTCTGGGACCTTTGAAGGTTCCCAGGAGACTACGGGAGGAAGGACGGGGCCGAACTTCCGGTTCACTTTGCCATGGCGAACCGAGCCGGAAGTCGGAGTGGGTACCTGTCAAAACCAGGTACCCGCTCCCCCCTCCCCAGCAAAAGGTGCCAAATATGGCAGTGGAGGAGGGGGGGGGGGGGGACACAAACAAGTGGAACATTGACTTTTGGGTGGAACTCTGCTTTAAGGCCACATTCACACCATACGTGCAGAAAAAACTGATGGAAAATGATGCGCAGATTTCACTTGCAGAGACTCAAGTTTTCATATGCGTTTCAATGAGTTTTATACACATTGCAGATTCCTGCGCAGAAAAAATCTGCATGTGATAGTAGTGTAGTGGTGTGAACAGGGCATAGAGAACAATTTTTTTTTTGTGCCGTTGCAAAATGCGTGCAGAAAAACTGACGTCTCTGCAACATGGCGTGAACAAGGCCTTAGTTTGCTAATGCATTGTGCATCATAAACTAAATTTAATATAAAATACTCTACATTTTTCATCCCTTTGTGTATTTCAGTGCTGCTGATCTCCCACAGTGATTTTCAGTCATTTCATGTCTATTTGCACTCGCACGCTTGTTATTGTTTTAGTCCAGCTTCATAAAAAATGATGGACCATACCCGCATAATTTGCGTCAGCATGGCTGCTTGTAGTTTCCACCAGGGAAACATATGGCCCTGTATTGCGTCAGTCGTTTGAGCGTTAATGGATTCCATTAGTCAGAATATTAATTTATTCTGGCCATTGGAATGCATTAATGCTCAAACGAGTCTAAACGCATCTAGCATTTAGACGCATTTACATTTGTCTAGGCACATTCAGCATTTTTTCTGCTCTTCAGCTCCTCGCCTTAATGCACTTTTGATGCTTTTTTTCCAGCCTGTATTATTATTATTGCACAGGATTTATATCGGGCTCAGGTAAGTATGGAGGGGAGCTGTACACAGAAGATTTTTCACCTTAATACATAGAATGCATAAAGGTAAAGAACCTTCTACCTTTACAACCATTTTAATCTCAAAATTATTAAGGTCCATAAGAAACAGGTTTTGGAAAATTCAAATGCATTTGTCTTGGGTAAAGAAGGATTTAGCGTGGTCACAGGCAACCCAGGAATTGTAAGTGATGCTCTTAATTTCAAGCATTGTTTTTGTCATTACTGGGTTGACAGCAAACTTCAGGGAGGTAATACATGTCCTGTCAGCACTCATAGCTTAGGGAAGTTTTCCAATGTAGAGGCTCTGCCAGGGTTGGAGTACCACTGGTCTCAGAACATTGTTTGCTTCTGCTTGTTGCTGGAAACTGCTCTCCATTACATAGAGCAAGAAGAAACAATGGTATGGGTTATGAAGATTTATTTTACCTTGACCAGACTAGAAGGTGCCAGTAAGGTTGGCTGGGGAAGGGGATAAACATTCAGGGAGACCCCCTAAAAGGGTCTTTGCCTCCCAGGCTTAGCCTGGAAAGAATGTGAATCCAGAGACCCGGTCTTTGCCGCCCAGGCTTTGTCTGGAGGTGAGGTCCACTGTGAATGATCTCTTTGACTCTGAGGCCTGCTGTATGTGGAGGCTTCATCAGCATCAGAATCATGTCCCAGAGAATGTGAAATTGACCTATGCTAGAACCTGGAATATAGGAGCACCTTCATAAAGTTTGATCAGTTGATTGCTGGTCTCGGAGTAGAGGCAAACCCTTGGCCCAGGAGAAGAGCTGACATTATTTTTCCATCAGAGTGGAATAATGTTGTTGTTGTTTGGGTGTCTTGTAAACCCTATCTCTCTCTTCTTTGGACTTGGCCAATAAAACTTTCAAGCAAAGATTGGTAGAGTGAACATCAGTCATTGGGTTGCCACTTTTGTGCAGAAAAGGCAGTTTACACAGGACGTAATGAGCTCACTGGGTTTCTGGCAGGATCAAAGGGTACTTTCTGTACTGGCCGCATTAAGGAAATTCAGTGCCCGCCACATAGATTGGGTTATTTTAGACTTAGCAATGTTCAAGTTCCAAAAGAGCATAAAATGATGATACGCTGGATCCATGGATCTTAAATAGTAAAATATTTTGAGTTCAAATCTGTGATAAGGCTGGTTAGTTGTTTGCTAATAAAAGTAACATCTATGTGTAGTTTTACTTCGTAGAATGGTATGAATTTTTTGTCCATGCTCAGGTCCTATGTGAGGTTGGGAAAGCCAATAAGATGTAGGTTGACAGTGTGCAATGGGCTTTGGTGAGAAAGGGTGGCTTATCCATTCTTCATTACAGAGAAAGTTAATCTATCTCCCAGTTAACTTTTCACCATCTCTGGTTTATTCATTATGCTATCTGATCACTATCTGTGAAATGCAGGAATCTTGCAGTGGTTACCAAAGCTTGTGAAAACTATGTGCTTCTCATGACAGTTTCAGTAAAGTATGACAGGCTGATAACATTGTGTTTACTGACTGCTCCATTATCTTATCACAGGAATTGTCTTGTAGACACTGATGCATTGATCACTCTTCAAACTCAGTTGTGGACTTTCCCTTATGATATTAGATGAAGCTTGGCTATGTCGTTGGAGATGTTTTTGAAAGAAATATACAATGTTTACATATGCAAGGATAATTTTGCTTTGTGGGCATTTGAAGTGAACTTATATTCCATTTCGGAAGTAAACGTTCTACGTTAGAGCAGACACCACATATTAAAGTACCTGTCCCCCTTGCATTCTCATCTTTTTTTTGCTGCATTCTCCATTAATAAAAAAATTAAAAATGCAGTGTTGGTTGTGGGACCTCCTTGTAATGGCCATTGCACACGAACAGACCTGTATCTCTAGCAGAAAAATCAATCTGCCTGTGTCAAGACATAAGAAGACAGTGGGTGAATTAATTTTTCAGCCACCAAAATTTAGGTTTTGATCCAGGCCAGCAAATCTTGGGCAATTCATTGGTTTTCCGGTTAGCCAAGTGAAATTGTGTTCACCCTTATTTTAAAACAAATGCACAAGACTGGATGATATCTGTGAATATGGCTTCACTGAGCTATGTGAAAACTGTACTGCTTTAGCAAATCAGGTCCAAAGTCTGAAGCTTTCTACAGGTTCCCTGGGGAACCTTTATATGCTTTTATTTATGTACACTGCTCAAAAAAAATAAAGTAACACTGTTTAATCAGAGTATTGTATCAAGTCAATGAAACTTCCTGGGATATTAATCAACAATGAGATGACCACCAAAACAGGAATGGTTTAACAAATGGAGGCCACTGACATTTATTTCCCTACTCATCTTTTCCGACTGTTTTTCACTAGTTTTGCATTTGACTAGGGTCAGTGTCACTACTGCTAGCATGTGGCGATACCTGAACCCTACAGAGATTGCACAGGCAGTCCAACCCCTCCAGGATGGCACATCAATACTTGCCATTGACAGAAGGTTTGCTGTGTCTCCCAGCACAGTCTCAAGAGCATGGAGGAGATTCCAGGAGACAGGCAGTTACTCTAGGAGAGCTAGACAGGGCCGTAGAAGGTCCTTAACCCATCAGCAGGATCGGTATCTGCTCCTTTGTGCAAGGAGGAACAGGATGAGCACTGTCAGAGCCCTACAAAATGACCTCCAGCAGGCCACTGGTATGAATGTCTCTGACCAAACAATCAGAAACAGACTTCTTGAGGGTGGCCTGAGGGCCCAAAGTCCTCCAGTGGGCCCTGTGTTCACTGTCCGGC